AAACACAGCGTCACACACGGCGGGCTTGAGTGAGCGGAGGCCGGTGGGCTTGAGAACGGTGCGGCCGGCGGGCTTGAAGGCAACCACATGTGACGACCCCGGGCTGGACTCCGCTTCCTCCACGGTGAAAGCTGATCCGGCGATCCACAGCGCGAAATTGATGTATTTCCTCAGCGACCAGCAAGGATCAGCTTTAGGCATGACGAAGCCTATATCGTCCACTTTTGGAAGGCCAAACAAAGTAGTTTCGCTTTGCAAGAGCTTGTAACACTTCAAAGAGAAAGGAAAAATTGAAATGGCATCATATGACCCCTTTAAAGAAGGTCATCCCTCCTCTATTACATCTACTATAGCTTGGATTGCCTACAGCGTCACACGCCTCACGTTGAACGTGATTTTTCTCCAATGAGGCAGAGGAGGGAGCGGAATGCTTTATGAAATACGCTAGCCTACAGCACTTTTTTTTTATTGCACTGATTGGCTACTGTGAGCAGAGCAGACAGAGTGTAAATCAATGCATTGGAGAAAAACGGCGACCAATTAATGTAAAGAAATGGGATTTTTCCCGACCAGGGATTTTTTTACGCAATTTAAAAAAATGCTTATTATAAGCGGACTTGGCAACTCTGGCCCCCACCCTACGCTGCCAGTCCAAAGACAAGAGCCATGGAAAATCAGCTGTACTACAGCCAGACAAGCGGGACAGCATCTTCAACTTTACAGAGATAGCAGTTCGTTTTGACACGCACGCCAAAATTTTACGTACATTTAAAATATTGATCACTAGATTACCACAATAAATTTGTGCACAAAATTTAAAATGTCCATGCTTTAACTTACCTCACCACCGCACAGTTTTGTTTTACACAGTAATAACAGCTTTGTCAGAATTAAGTGAATAAAAATAAAAGTGAATAGAAATTAAGTGAATAGGAAATAAATATATATAAAAAATACACAACTGTCAAAATAGACATTAGACAATATGTACAGATATGCTATACACAATTATGCAAGGGAATGTGAATAAGATGAGCCATTGTGATGATACTTTTATAATGATGTGCTCTAGATAGATGCCAGAAAGTGTAAATAAATTAATACAGATTTACATGACATTATAAAGGCCAGACTTAAAATAAACAACCTTCATTAGTAGCAGACAAATATAATGGGAAAATTATATAAATATAAATGTATAAAATATCAGTTTCTCAAAAATATTTCTGACACATCTAAAATAAGCATTATTAGTTATTGATAATAGGCCTACTGCATTTTTACATTTTGGTATAGGTAACAAAAATTACATGGAATATATTCATCATAATGAGATTAGGCATTTGCAATGTGCTTTTGGGAATTTTATATATGTTTGTTTATATTTATTTAAGTGTAACATTACAGGTGTAGGCCTATAAACAATACAGAATTGTTTAACAAGGCCAATCAGGCACATATCTTTAAGTGTATGTTTTAAAGTGTGGGATAAAGCAGGCTGATTTACCCATTAGCCTATAAATCTGAAGCACTAGCATAACACCGCAGATTAAAAAAGAAAAGTTCCCAGTTCCCAGTTTTGTTTGAGTGTCACGTGAACTCCTGCAACCAATCCATTTCCACCTTTTCCTTCTCTCCTCTAGGGTCAGTCGAGTCGGAGGAGCGGAGAAACGATGGCGGTTCTCTCATAGAGTTTACCAAGGCAAAGTTTAGCTTCTCTGAAAAAGTATTTGAATCTAAGCGAGAGGGGAAAAGCCGTCAATTTTTGGAGTGCTGGTGAATGACTAAAGTGCGCACTGGACTGACTGCGAAGCGTTTACTGCTGTGCGTGCGCGCCCGTGACGTGTCCTTGGCGACGGCAGAATTTTGGGAGCCGCAGTTAGTTACTAGTTTGTGAATTTCGGAGAGAGCTAACGCGTTAGCACGGCTCTTTAGCCCGCTAGTGTAAAGTGTTTCAACTAAGTTTGCCAGAGAGTGTCTATGTGGAGGAGTTGTACATGTAGACACGCAAGGTAATTAGTAATTTATCTTGGGGAGTGAAATAAATCGTGTGTATATTTAGCTTGATTCATTCGCTTGGGATGAGCAGGTACTTTGCACCTGTAGCCTTCACGTCTTGAAAACTCTCTTGACTTTCCCGGTTGGGTATGTTGTTTACCTTCATTTTTACAAACATTAAATTCGTTTGTACTTCTGGTTGCGCTGAAATCGACAGACTGATCATGTAGCTTTTACTCTCAAAAGTCAACTAAAGAGTTAGCGTTGCAAATATTCCGGCTAATGCTGATGTCCCAGCTTCAGAGACACTTCGCACTCCCAGACTGGTTATCTGGCTTGCGTGGAAACAAAGCAATGCGTCTCTTAACCTCTATTAAGCCGGATTTAACTTGACCGACTCTCCATTAATGATATAAAGTCACCTGGCTGGGGTTCTTAGGAACTTTTTTGTGTGTACGTGTCATTGAGGAATACGACTACTGGACCAGTTTACTTAGATTTGACATCACGGCACCCTATGGTGCTCCTGCAGGCACCGAGACATGGATGTTCCCCAGGCCGTTTTCCCAAACGGTGAGGGGCGCATGAGCCTCCAAGACCATGTCTGGACGGAGTCCTCCAACTCGGGGGTTTGGGCTCACTCTGCCCCCGTGTGTCCCCGCTCGCTCTGGACCGCGGTGTTTGACTACGAGGCCAGCGGGGAGGACGAGCTCAGCCTGCGGCGAGGAGACGTGGTGGAGGTCCTGTCTAAGGACGCTGCTATCTCGGGAGACGAAGGCTGGTGGACTGGTAAAATTAACCATCGCGTGGGCATCTTCCCATCTAATTATGTTACTTACCAACCAGTCATTTATAGAGCGGTAGGGGCTCGCGAGAGTGACCCGTCCGCCCCTGTCCGGATACCGTTTTCTGAACTTGTTCTACAAGAAATCATCGGCGTCGGTGGTTTTGGCAAAGTCTACCGGGGGACCTGGAAGGACCAGGAGGTCGCAGTAAAGGCAGCTCGACAGGACCCCGACGAAGACATTAAAGCGACTGCGGACAGTGTTAAACAAGAAGCTAAACTTTTTTCGATGCTTCAACATCCTAATATTATTAAACTAGAGGGGGTGTGTTTGGAGGAGCCTAACCTGTGTCTGGTCATGGAATATGCCCGAGGAGGGACTCTCAACCGCGCTTTGACGGGCAGAAGGATCCCCCCTCATATCCTAGTGAACTGGGCCGTCCAGATCGCCAGAGGCATGCAGTATCTCCACGAGGAGGCTGTGGTTCCCATTATTCACCGAGACCTCAAATCCAGCAACAGTAAGAGAATTACGACACACACACACACACACACTCATTAATGCCTACTTATCCTGACCAAGAATGGCAGGTATTTGCTCTACTGTAGAAACACACACGAGGTTGTCACATTGGTATTTCCTTTCGCAATTAGCACGTTAATCAATAATCGTTTACAAAGTTTATCATTAGAACATCAACCTTTTTTCCATATAAGCCTGTGTTTGGACCCTAAAGGGGGGGAATGGAACACCACGTGCTCATTCTTATAACATGGGTCATCTAGGAATATTCTGGGAATATTTAATGCAACCTGTGTGTAGTGTAGGGAGGAACTGTGGACTCTGTCTTCTAGCTAAAAGCAATATGATTCTTAAAGGAAGCCACTAGCTTGTGAAATCTAAACCCAGAAGAAAATATATAAAATTGATGGATGTTCTGAGATTGAATGGAGCCTTTGTAGTTAATGTTAAAGACACTGGATCCTTCCAAGTCCTTCTGGCGACTTCAGCATTCGCTCATCTTAGAGTACAACCTAAGTTGCAAGTTTTTAAATATTTAAAAAACTTCAATGCTTACACTATTTCTTAAAACCCTCCCTGTTGTTGCTTGTTCTGTTCTAGACCATGTTTAAAACTTGGCTGCCATTTCTCATGTTATTGCCTCCCTAAGATTCATTGTTTGTTGTATTACTCATTTCTAAAGCTTTAGATAAAAGCAACTGCTAACTGAATAAATGTTAATTTATATTGTAGCAAAATTATCGCATTATCACACTGCTCTGTATATAAAGTTAAATATAGGATATAGTTATAAAAATAAAGGATATAAGTTATATCTGTATGCATACTGTCCACTCACATAAAGTGATATATACTATATAGTAAATCTCAACTGCCTGATTGTTTTAGTCAGTTAATGTAATTATATGTTATATTTAATAAATGTTTAACAAACATACTACATATAAAACGTATAGCTTTACGTGAGTATACCAAATGTATTTGTATATTTTATATATATGATTATGCCCAAAATGCTTAACTGCTTAGATAGTGGAATTACCTTTGTAAATGTTGGCCCTAGAGTCATTGAGATTTAAGGTTGCATATTTTTTCTCCACACCCTAATTTTCACTAACGAAAGAGCAGACTGTTTGAAAACTGCACCTGCGCTTCAACAGTGGATTTGAGTCATGTGCTTTAGCAGGGTTTCTACACTCATTAATGCCTACTTATCCTGACCAAGAATGGCAGGTATTTGCTCTACTGTAGAAACACACACGAGGTTGTCACATTGGTATTTCCTTTCGCAATTAGCACGTTAATCAATAATCGTTTACAAAGTTTATCATTAGAACATCAACCTTTTTTCCATATAAGCCTGTGTTTGGACCCTAAAGGGGGGGAATGGAACACCACGTGCTCATTCTTATAACATGGGTCATCTAGGAATATTCTGGGAATATTTAATGCAACCTGTGTGTAGTGTAGGGAGGAACTGTGGACTCTGTCTTCTAGCTAAAAGCAATATGATTCTTAAAGGAAGCCACTAGCTTGTGAAATCTAAACCCAGAAGAAAATATATAAAATTGATGGATGTTCTGAGATTGAATGGAGCCTTTGTAGTTAATGTTAAAGACACTGGATCCTTCCAAGTCCTTCTGGCGACTTCAGCATTCGCTCATCTTAGAGTACAACCTAAGTTGCAAGTTTTTAAATATTTAAAAAACTTCAATGCTTACACTATTTCTTAAAACCCTCCCTGTTGTTGCTTGTTCTGTTCTAGACCATGTTTAAAACTTGGCTGCCATTTCTCATGTTATTGCCTCCCTAAGATTCATTGTTTGTTGTATTACTCATTTCTAAAGCTTTAGATAAAAGCAACTGCTAACTGAATAAATGTTAATTTATATTGTAGCAAAATTATCGCATTATCACACTGCTCTGTATATAAAGTTAAATATAGGATATAGTTATAAAAATAAAGGATATAAGTTATATCTGTATGCATACTGTCCACTCACATAAAGTGATATATACTATATAGTAAATCTCAACTGCCTGATTGTTTTAGTCAGTTAATGTAATTATATGTTATATTTAATAAATGTTTAACAAACATACTACATATAAAACGTATAGCTTTACGTGAGTATACCAAATGTATTTGTATATTTTATATATATGATTATGCCCAAAATGCTTAACTGCTTAGATAGTGGAATTACCTTTGTAAATGTTGGCCCTAGAGTCATTGAGATTTAAGGTTGCATATTTTTTCTCCACACCCTAATTTTCACTAACGAAAGAGCAGACTGTTTGAAAACTGCACCTGCGCTTCAACAGTGGATTTGAGTCATGTGCTTTAGCAGGGTTTCTTGGAGTTGCACAGTCAACAAGTGATAAACCACTGGCTATCTTCAAGCTTTTCAAAAGAGCTGTAGGAATGATTTTTTTCTGAATGAGTGTGACCCTGGGCAGGTTGTGAAGTTAAGAGGTTAGAGTTTGAACAGCTGGTGTCCTCCTTGAAAAACTGCCTAACAAGGTTCAGAAAACTCAGATCTGTAAATATGTCTGCATAAAGAAGCACTAATTCTGAATATAAATATATTATAGAGTCTTTGAAATCATATATATAATCATATAAATATGGTGAGTATTGTCATGTATTACCTTGTTTTACAGATACAGAGAGTTTCCTTTATGTAAATGGGGATATTTGCCCTTTCTCTAAAAACAATACAATAGCTGCAAGAGATGCTGCATGACAATGAGATTGTCCTATCATGTTTCTTAGTCATAGATGGAGTTGGGAAAGACCCTAATGCTTTTCTGCCTCAGGTATGCAATACATTAACCAATACCTAAAAGAGGCATTTCAGATGTTGTGCTTAAAAGTTAAGTAACTTGTCTGACTAATACTCACAAAAATCTGTAAACTCAAATATAGTCTTGAATGCTGTACAGATTTAATCAGCTGGTATCATTGACCTGATCATGTAAATCTATTCAGCAGCTTTATTTCATGAATTTATGAACAAGCTGTTTCTATTATACACAGCCATTCAAAAAGTCTTTTATGCTCATCAATGCTGCATTTATTTGATAAAATACAATTAAAAAGTCATATTGTGAAATATTATTCAAAATAGCTGTTTTCTGTTTGAATATATTTTCAAATTTAATTTATTCCTGTGAGGACCAAGCTGATTTTTCAGCAGCCATTACTTCGGCCTTTAGTGTCACATGATCCTTCAGAAATCATTCTAATAATTTAGATTTGGTGCTCAAGAAACATTTCATATCATTCATGTTGAAAACAGTTTTTAAGGAATTTTAAGGATTATTTGGTGAATAGAAATGTAAAAAAATTTTTTTTACATTGTATGTCTTTATAGTCACGTTTGATGAAAGTAATGCATCTTTGCTTAATAAAAGTATTAATTTTCCACAAAAAAAAAAAACAATTTTGAATGGTAGTGTAGTTGATTTCAGTCTGCAAATGTGTCATTATTATTACTGTGTCATTCTCTCTGTTAAATTAGCAGAGTATATCCAGAACAATAAAATAGACGGCATTCCACTATCAACAATAGACGCAATGTGGCACCCTGCCCCCGTTCAGCATGGCAGTGCTACTGTTAACGCAGCTCAGTTTGTTCATCTCTCCACAGGATTGTGACAAACAACACTGGAAGCTTGCTGACCTTAATTGAAAAAAATAACGTGTGTTTGCTCAGTTCTGCAGTCAAGACACCTGCCCATCATGAGCCAGACCCTTTCTGCTGTGTTCTTAAGGGGGACTCTTTGCCCATTCAGGTTGCAGTACATTGTTTAGCAGGTTAAAGGGAGAGTGTAAATTTTTAGGGAGGCACAAACAGCAAAGTCAAATAGTAGTCTCTCAAAAAGTAAGACATGAAATCTGATTTGCTTTGTGCCCATTCTTGCTTATCTGATCAGTGATTATCTTTAAGATATTGCAAATATAGTGAGTGAAATGATGTTTTTGTGCCCTAATCTTTTAATACCTCACTCAAAGGAATGTCGCTAACGAGGGGGCAAAAGCTTAACATAAGTTTGCACAATGGAATGGTCAAGCACTGGTTGCTAGGTGACTGCCAACCCGAGAATGCTCTGACTTCTGGGCCTGAAAGGCTTATTTTTTTTTCATTATTTTTAATCTCCTCAATGGCTGCTGTTTTCTCTCCAAGACAGGGAGCTTCTCCTGATTGGGGGTAAAGAATATTGCAGAACTGTAGCCAGCAGCCCCTGTGAAACTCGGCACTGTGCTTTGTGTTTTGTAATTTCAGGCACATGAAGTGCTTTAGTAATAAGACAGCATTCATATCCAACCAACTGGTTTACTGAAATGCATAAAATATTAATACTGATGATTGTGTAATAGGTTGTGGGTGTGTAGAGTTATTCCATTAAATTTTAAACTGTTGTGTTGTTACTTCATGGAAAGCAAACCTGAAAGTGCACAGAAACCAACAGCTGAGATTAACCTGAAAGCATCAAACGGGTGAAACCTGTTCGAAATGGAATCCCAATTTTCATGTTTGTCCCAAAATGAAAGTTTTTTGAACATGAGGACTTTCTAACATACAGGTCTTTTATCTTTTAAAAGACACTGTGTGGTTCTTTTTATTTGCGGTGTCCAGCATGTTTGAGTTTAAAGGAAATGAATAAAATTGTAAAGGAATCTAAAATCCTCATTTTGAAACTAATAGTTTCAGCTCTAAATTCTGATTGGATGGCTTTCTCTGCTTATTGCATTAATAAATAAACATTGTGATTTCTGTACTGAACGGGTGAAAATGTTATATTAACAATTTGAGACAGTTATATTAAATGTCTTACATTGTAACAGGTCAATAGGAGTGTAGTCAAGGCCAGTCCTCACCACTGTACGCTGAGTAAAGGCTGGGAATGTTAGAAAGTGTTTAATGAAATGTGTCCACAAATAAAAATACTTAGTTACCCCCTCGGGTCATGATGGAAAGGGAGTCAAGGTCAGATTAATCAGACATGTAGTTATCAACTGATGGCCTTCCTATTTATTACATACTGATGTTGATAAAGGTCTCAAGTTGGATAAATGTCAAGGACAGAACTGGTGAAAAATAATACTACTCCTGACCTCAGGACGTTCCTCGCTTCAAAGCAAGCTGGCCTACATTCCCATGTTGTACGAGACTGTATTGTAAAGTGGAGCGACTTGTATGTCGCTCTGAGTTCTTCATGTAGGCCTGTGTCCTTGAAGTTTCCACTTCATGATAAAAGAGTGGAAATATGAGCATCCTCTTAGCATTCCTGTATTGTTGTTCATTGACATAAATGCTCAAAGGCTAAGGCTCGCACGTAGAAAACATTCCCATCATACCTTAAAGTGGCTGATCTGAACAGCCCAATCACTTATTTTTTTGTCTGTTATTTCGGTTCATTTTTTCACTGCTGACTTTTACAATTAATTTATAACTAATATAGTACAAATAAATAAAAAAATTCTCCTGTCTTTTTTATTTTAGTTTTATTACTTGAAAAAATTGAGAATGATGACATTGGTCGAAAAATCCTGAAGATTACTGACTTTGGCCTGGCCCGTGAGTGGCACAAAACGACCAAAATGAGTGCAGCTGGCACTTATTCCTGGATGGCTCCTGAGGTCATCAAGTCCTCTCTGTTTTCCAAAGGGAGTGATGTCTGGAGGTAAGCTGTTGTTTTAACTTAATTGCAATGTTGAGCACAAAGACTGTTATTATCCGGCACTGTGCCACACTTCAAAACTCAGTTTTGCAATTTCAGGCACATGAAGTGAAACGTTAAGGAATCTCAAGCATGTGTGCTTTCCAAAATACACACACTCTCTCTCTCGCGCTCTCTCTCTCTCTCTCTCTCTCTCTCGACTGTCAGCGTAGAGAACAATGGCCTTGTTGGAGGGATAGAAAGGGACCATGGCGAACATACTACAGGCAGTGGTTATTGTCTCATGATCTAAAGATGATTTTCTGGCCCATAAAACAGACACTATAGAAATCTGAGCAATGAAAAGACATAAGAAAACTGGGGGCAAATCAGAGCAGGATTGTTTTGAACTGGTACTATTCTAGAAGTTTTTAATTGATTTATTAATTATATATATATATATATATTTATATATAAGTAATGATAAGTATATATATATATAGTATTTTTATATAGTATTTTTGTGGATACTGTGATGCAATACAATTCTAAAGTTTGTGAAATACATTTTTAATTAATT